AAAAGTTCTTTTTGAAAAAACTCGAAATGAAGGTTACTACTATCAGGTTGTTTTTCGCTTGTGTAAAAGGTAAACTCCCTCCTCTGACCAGGACTTTAGAAGACTTTTTACACAGAAAATAGAGTGAACGCTTGCATTCCTACGCAGTTGGTAATCAGCCACACCTACTGTGTAAGGGCTAGTGATATTACTTGGCCTCTAAGAAATCAGTAGGCGGAGTGCTGTTTGAATCAGTGGTCCGATGACTGATTGTCGAGCACTTAGACCAATGGCCACATATCCCAACATTAGAGCATATTCCCACTGAACTTTATCAAGGGAGAAAAGAAGATTGTGATAAGTTCTGTTGCAGGACACTTAGCTGACTTCTGGCAATCAACTAATTTCAACAACCACTGTCACTGTTTATAAAAATTTATACAAATCAATCGCGTTTTCTTCCCCTTCAACTCTTTTAAAACGTTGAAGACTTTGGCTATCGATAAACTGATAGAACTTCATGCGTTTGTTCCTCTTTATCAATTTGGATAAAGCAAAAGCAACGGTCTATGCAGAATAGGCTAGTATTATTGTTCCTTTGGGTTCCCAGTGGGATATAATGCTTCGACAATATATCTCCGCTTTGTTCTATTTTCTGCTGTCCTCTTCAGCTGGGTCCATGATTGCCCATAATCTCTCATCTCCTCCAACTCTCACAATCTCCTCCGTGCCACCCTCGAACTAATGCACAACTCGTCGTTTTCCAATTCGGGTTTTAATCGAGTGATGACATGGCGTGTGATGTCAGTCAACGATCTCCTCAGCGTGTGTCTGATCCGTCCCCATTATTTTTGTTGAGCAACAGGATCTTGGTTGGTTCGTTCCCAGAGGTTCTTGTTGCTAATTCTCTCTGGTCATTTGATATTCAGTATGGAGCAGGTGAAGGCAACTGTTGATAAATGTCTGTAACTTGTTGGAAATACTTTTCGTGACACTTTGGCCAATTTTCTGACCCGTATAGAAGTACTAACTGATTTCGCATCTGTGTTGAGAATCTGAATCTTCTTCTTTATGCTGATGGTACCATCATTTATTTTATCGATTTCTTCTCAGCTGCATGCAGCTTGAGGAAACTGGTTAACTTTGCGGATCAGTTTTAACGTACTTGTAAATGTTACATGATATCAACTAAGAGAAGACTTCAAAATTAATCAACAGTGCTCAGAAATTACGACGAATTAACTTGCACATCAAAAGATTCAAGTTTAAACAAAACTAAAAAAAATATGGTAAATGTTTGGATACAGTTGAAAAGTATCTCCATAATAAAGACAATAGGTGAATAAGATGATAAGCGACTAATTATTTGCATATCAATATGGGGAGTTCAACTTAAGTCATATATTATTTCAAATGGTGTATACAAATTTATATGTATGCGCGATAGCAATTATATCGAAAGAATAGAAAGAAAGGTATACCTTCGTTTTTGTGAACATGTAACATGAAGCCTACGTCTCAAGAGGAAAGATCCCTTCACTAATGCTATTGAGAAACATCTCGTTGATACAGTTCATGGGATAGATATCCTGATATTTTTTAAAATTATCAATAAACAAAATAGTTCAGTCCTCCTCAAGTGTGCTGGTATCAAACACTTGAAACACGATTTATGTGTTCAGGAAGACTCATCTATTCATCTTCCCTTGCTTTTATGGTTAGGACATGAGTTACGAATGCACGCCTGGCCATCGCCTTCTTCGACAAATGGGCAATGTTAGCTGACATAGGGTCAGGTTGAAAAGAGGCGCTTGGTGGTCAAACCAAAACATGGCACCAGTCAATGAAATCCACAACAGTTAGTTTAAGCGACATAGGAAAGTTTAAACTGTTTGGTTAAGGCTCTCGGGACTGTGAAAATCAGTGGCTGGAAACAATCGGTGATATGGCTGGCTCAAAATCCTCAATTCTCAACGGCTGGAGCAGATACACCCACTCCTTGTGACTCATAATATCCAATGAGACTATATTGTTCTTCGATATTACTATTCTTTTGTCTCTTATCTCTGTTTACCGTCTTTATTTTGCGTTTCTTTTACTTTCTTCTCTTGATTTGTGTGCTGAGTGAAGTGTGGCGACTTGAACTGTTGCACATTAGTGAAAAGTTCTATGTTGAAACCAGTTAGTCCTTACTCTGATAACTCGATTTATTTACTCTACTTCTTGTTTGATTACTCTTCGTCTCTGACCTTTTCCACCCTTTTGCCATAAGGTAATTATGGATGAAGGATTTCATTATGAGCTCACATCGGTTAGCGAACCACTGGAATACCTGGGAGTACTGGACAGTCGTTTCATCATAGTTTGGGACTCTTTGGCAGTACGCAACCGCCGGTGTTCGAACCCAGGACCTTCTGGTCACAAGGCGAGCTCGTTGACCATTAAGAGTCCCAATGTACGACGAAATAGCTGTCCAGTACTTTCAAGCCATCCAACAGTTCTCTAACCCATGTCAGCTAATAATGAAATCCTCGAACTAATTAAACGAAATCCTTACAAACCATTACTTGAAAATAACATAATTTTGCTTATCTTTTGTTCCTGTGATTGGAGATGAACTCACCATATTACTACTCAAATTATAAGTTACTCATCATCTACTTATCCAACGCTTGCCTCTTTTATACAACTCCTTTTCCTTCTGTGTATAAGGGTGATTTCTAGGCACTATTTACTAACTGTGAAGTCTTCTGTTAATTGACATCATATCACCACTTGCAAGTACATTAACATTTCTCTGAAGACAGACTTAAATAACTCTTTTGATTGTATTTAGTTGATGAAAAAACCTGACAATATGAGTAATAGTAATATCTTATACTGAACAAACCATTATTGTTTTTTCTCTATTCAAACTTAATCAAGCTAGATCCTTTTTGTACAAACTTGAAACGAAAAGATTAGTGAATAAATGAATATTTATTGAATGGTTAGTATTATTAATTGGTAAAATGATTAAATAAATTAATGAATTAATTATGTAATAGGAATATTCGAATTTTTACTAATATTATTGGTAATATCGTCTTCACCGTGATTTGTTTAAATGAAAACTTCAAAATTTGGAAGCCAAATTTAAATGAGATGAAGAAGGATAGATTGGAAATAACAAAAAGTTAAAACACTTCAATTAATAATGGTGAAAATGATCATAATAATGATGATAATAATAACAATAATGGCAGGGCAATGAATCATTGCAAGTTACTAACACAATAAATGGTGGGAGATAAAAAAGATTACCTCCCAACCCGCCGTCTACGAACCTGAAACTTCAGCACTATAATATTGTCAGCGGTGAAATATCACTATTCTTTGTTTTATCTAATAAATGATGAGATAAATTTTAAAAAAAAACTTACACTAAACAACGGAAGAGAAAAAAATTGAGCGAACCACATGAGCAAGAAACCAAGAAAATAACGAATAATATTGATAATTTATAAGGCATGAAAATAACACAAAAAATGCAGCTCACTTTCGATAGAAAACAGTAAATTAAAAAACGCCAAGTATGAGTTTATGCAAATTAATGAATTAAAAGTAAAAAAACAGACTAAAATTAAATAATAATATCGCAAAAATTAATAAAAAAAACTGGTAAATAAAGCACGCGGGTTACGTTTTTAGTACAACCTGATAAACTACTGAATTACTCATTTGAGTAGTTGCTGTCAATCGATCAATTAATCAGTAAGGATGGATAATGTGAAGTAGAGCGATTCTAGGCACACTACAAATGAAATATATGTACGTATATTCCATTTTGTATAAACAAAATTATAAATGAACTTAATGTTTTTTTGCAAGAAACGACAGAAGATATTAAATGAGAATGATTATTCATTAATGACAATGCTGACGTTTTTCGTAGAAAAATTCCAAATAAAAGTTTATTATTAAAAAAAAATTTTGTATTGTAAAAGCCAGAACAACCGAGAGATAAACATGATTTAAGTGATGAACAACCGGTTTCAATGGTACTTTAATTTTATGCTGCTGTTGCTGCTATTACTACTAATATTTTCGGTAGTAGCAATATCACCCTCTCAGCATTGAACTTCCGCCTAGATGTGACGAATTGGCATCTTCACCATTTCAGTCAGAGATGTGTATTACACCGCCATGTCTGTATGTGTTTGGGTGTGTGTGTGTGTAATGATTCGTGTGCCAGTCACTCATTTGTTCCAGTGTATTGTTCAGCCTGTACCAAACATCGGGATAATTTCGAGAGAAAAATGCCTAAAAATAATGATAACGATAATAACTTAAACATAAAATGATTAAGTAGAAAAACAGAACTATCAAAATGCTGTAGAAAAAGATGTTCTTAGTGTGTGTGTGTGTGTGTGTGTGTGTGGTTGGATGTGTTTGTGTCAGTATGTAAGTATGAATACCTGCCCGTCATCACCGGAAACTTTTATAATTAACGTATAAATAGATAGATAGATTATCAAAAATTGACTAACTGCGTGGTACTACTGACAACATTTTAGTCATTAGTAGTATCCTAAATAGTTGTAATTGTTAATAACTGTTTTTTTTGGAAAGAGAGATTATAAATATTTATAAATAAATTGGCGCTTTCGACGAAAAAAAACAACCTAATGGAAATATTGACGTGGCTATCAAATTCCCTGAACTATATGTATGTATCAATTTGAATATCCCTAAGGAAAAGTTCAGTGTTCAATTTCAAAGGAAGAAGAATTTAAACAATAAAACCAAGGCGGGCATTTTGTAAAGTGACATATAATAAACCTGAAGACAGTGAGAAGGAAGGTGAATACCCAGTGATTAGTGATAAGATTATTTATGTAATGATTGGTGCGCGAATTGTGAAGCTAGCGTGCAAAACACCGAGGGGTGGAGTTGGGATAATAAGTCTGTCAATGGGTGACACCCTTAATTTTCTTGTCAAATGATTCATCCATTGTCAGTGACACTAGTAGGTGGTTTCTTCATGCCTTATTCAATCTTTGTGGATTACTACACTGGTCATAACACTCTGGATCCATTTTCATAGGATAATCTTTACTGGTTTGTAATTGTTGATTTGTCATTGTACTGTTGTTCAACGGTGATAATGGACTGCAACAGTCCATTGAAGAATTATTCTTTCCTGATGTTTCGTGATAGTCTATACTCCATGTTTGTTGATTTTGTTGTTGTTTATTATTATTGTTATTATTGTTGACAAGTGAAATTGATTTGTTTGACATAACCACTAATGACTGATTGTCTAATAGTTCTTGTCCGCTCAGTACACGTGATCTATCTCTAGAAGTGATCATTGAAATTGGATTAACAGTTTGTGATGACGATGATGATGATGATGGTGTTGAATAGTCTTTAAATGAACTCGTCTCATTCAAACAATGAGAATGATGATTGTCTAATGAAGGGAATGATAATTCATAAGTGGAACATGAAGATGATGATGAACCAGAGGCTGGACCTCGAACAGATACTTGTGAAGTACTTCTTGACATTGGAATTAACAAAGACCCTGAGATATCATGATTATCCTGATTAAGAATTGGTAACTGATTCGATTCTGTTGTGTTGTGTTGTGTTGTAAATATCTGATTGTCATTATCTTTAGTAGAATTGTTACTATTATTATTACTGTTTGATGAGAAAGTGAACAGTGATTTTGATCGATTCGGTGTTATATGGGAATGTAATAAATTCATTGGAGGAAGTATTTGATTCGATTCATTATTTGTAATGAAGGCACTGCCTACAGTTTCGCTTATGTTAGTATATGTTTTCCCAGATGGTTTCATTTTCCAACTGTAGTGTTCAGTATCACAATCCATTTGTTTATCTGATGTGATTAATTCAGTTAAACTATCCATTGGTTCTTTAAATGTATTCATACACCCCGGTATTACGGTTTCATTTAAACATGATAAATAGGGTATAGCAACACCAGGACAATGATGTTGTAATAAGGCAACACATTGACGTGCTCTTGATCTCCAACTATCCAGCTCTTGCATTAAACGACTTGCTTCTAGTTGTAAACACTCAACTTGTGATTGTAATTCTTGTGTACGTTGAACTTTACGTTCACGACATTTTTGGGCTGATTTACGATTACGTTCACGTCGTTTCATTCGACGATCAGCTTCGTCGGGATCAACCTGATTTATAAAGGGAGTATGAAAAAAATTATTATATTAAATGATAAGAATTATATGAAGTTTACAATGAAAAACAACATTCCCTGTTTTGAGAATCGTATAAGGAGTTTCACGGTAACTTTCGATGAGATCAGAGGTGCTATGGATTGATCACCCTTCCTTTGCATATATCAGTATTAATTTCGATTTTATCTTGAATAAATGTAAGGCGTTACATACTACTGACTGATTGAGATGAGTAGTTGTATGCCACTCACATCAACCAGTAGTAGTAGTAGTAGTAGTATTACCCTGACTTCCACAGTCTTCAAATTACAAGGGAAAATATACAAACAAACTGACGAAGCTGCCATGGAGTCATCAATATCCCCGGTTATGGCAGATATATATTCATGGCTAAGTGATAAAACTTAGCGATTGAAACGTTCACTCCCACCCTAAAAATATAGTGGAGGTATGTAGATGACACATTCACTGTACTTAGAACTCAGGATATAAACAGATTTTTCCAACACATCACCTCGAAGGTAGAAGCAATTCACTTCACCTATGGATTATGAAAGTCAAGAAAGGGAACTTCAAATGTTAGATTGTAGCTTAAAAAGGAAAGAAGGTGGGAAGTGAAACGCACACATTCAAACAGATATTTGGACTTCTAATCATCCCATCCTATGTCAGCGAAAATAGGATTGGTGAAATGTTTAAATAACAGAGCACAAAAACTAATTAGTACCAAGGAAATTCTATGAAAGGAAGTGAGGCATATAAAAGAAGCCTTCAAACTTAATAAATACCCTGATAAATGAATCAGGAGGTAAGTAGTAAAATGTAAAAATAAAATTAGTAATAATGACAATATTATTAATAATGATGACATGTATGTCAAACATGCACAGAATGATGACAAAAATAACAATAGAGAAGGAACCTTGGAAACCTTACTTAGAATTCTTAACAATGCAGGAATAAAAGTGGCATTCAATTAGAAACAAGCCAATTCAACAAAAGAGTATAGTTTATCTAATACCCTACAATGATTATCAGGTCAGAGTAGTGGAACAGGGTTAGTCGGACTTGCGGAGCATAAAAATCTAGCAATTTCCAGATTAGTTGACCCGAATAAGACAAAAAATCTGAAGAATACTTGAGCTGTAGCACTAGATTTAGTTACACACAACTGCACAATGCGATGGTGGCATAAGATCTGTCTGTCTGTTTTCGACATAGAACTTCGCACATATGTGCGCCAGTTCAAGTCGCCACACTCCCTCCATGTAGCACACAAAGCAAGACAAGAAAGTAGAAGAAATGCAAAACAGAGACAGTAATCAGAGGTGTGAGACAAAGGCGAATTAACAACGAAGAACAAGACAGTTTCATTGGAAACCATAAGTCACAAGTAGTGGATGCATCTGCGCCATTGAGAACGACTTTGAGCGATGTCACCAATTGTCGCCAACCATTGATTTTTACCGTCCCGAGGACCCCAACCAGGAAGCCAGTCTACACCTTCCTACGTGTCTTAGACTAACTGTTGTAGATTTCACTGACTGGTGCCATGTTTTGGTTTGACCGCCGCTAGCTCTTTTCCTGCCTGACCCTATGTCAGCTAACATTGCCCATTGTCGAGGAAGGCGATGACTAGGTATACGTAACACATGTCCTAACCATCTCAGTCTTTGTAACTTCACAACTTCGTCGATTGATTTCCCCTGCTTACCTGGAACTCGACGCCCAACCTCAATATTGCTCACCTTATTATGCCACTTGACACGAGAGATAGAACGCAGGCACCTATGATCAAAGACAGCTAGCTGATCTTTTCATGTCTTCCACTCTCAGTGGCCAGGTCTCATAGCCATAAAGGAGGACGGAGCGGACTGATGAGCAGTACACCCGCCCTTTGGTTGATAGTCGAACATCTCGTCTACGCCAGAGTCGGCGTAAACTGGCAAATGCGAAACGAGCCCCCTGTATTCGTGCTGAGATTTCGTCAGAGATCGACCCGTTGACACTGGCTGATGGTACTTCCCAAATAAGTGAAGCGGTCAACGTACTCTACCACTTCACTTCCTATTTTTAAACTAGGCGTCGCTGTAGTCCAGTCCTGTAGCCCCATCATCTTGCATTTGGCGGGAGCGAATCGCATGCCAAACATTCTTAGATTGCAGCTCAAGGTGTTTAGAAGACTCTGCATTTTTTCAGAGTCCTCGCCTAGTAGGACTATATCGTCTGCATACTCTAGGTCAAAGAGATTATTCCCTGGTAGCAAATCAATCCCTGAGTCGCTGAAGTCATAGGTAATAAATGGTATATATTAGATATATAAACAGCGGTTTGATCAATGAAAAATATACCTTGGCTCCCGTGTTTTGCCTCCCATTGTTACAAGACCACTTCGGTCGAGCTGGTTAGCAGTCACAGTACTGGTTGATGTGACTGATCTACAATTACTCATCTCAACTGTTTTTATTTATGCTCCCCTCCAGAGTCCACTACTCACCGTATATCTCTTATTAATTTCAACAACTTCCTTATATTCATTAAAGTGGGATATTGTTTACTAATGCCATTCAGATATACTTGAAATGCCTCCAAAATGTAAGTAGAAATTACCGATAATACCCACTGAGTCATGAAGGAAATAACAGACAGATTCAGCGGAGAAAATTTTCTTTTCCTTATCGACGAAATCATCTTCACAGGCTGTACACAGTCGTATTTATACTTACCAAAAATGTATAGTGGTCTATTATTGAGTAATAGGGTATGTGTGTGACACAATTGATATAATTACTCGGAAGTGGCTTTAGAAATAAAAAATTAAAAGTTGTAAATTATGTGGTACTCAACGGCACAAACATACAAATTTGATAAGGCTATTGAGTGAGAATAAGGGTAGTTGAGTGTCAATTTAACAAGTGTGAAGAGGGTGTGAAAATGTACGAAAGGAGCATATGAGAGTGATAATAGTGCATTAATTATTGAAGCAAAAGCAAACTAAAAGTAAAATTAAAAAAGAAAAGAAAAAATCAAAATTTTTTTACAGGGAACGACTAGTGAAGAGGTTGAGACCAAGGTAGAATAAGAGACTGGACACACTTTTTCTGTATACACAGTTCAGGGTTGTACTGACGAATTGCCAGCGCCTCCACCATACACAAAAGCCGAAACCTGACGCCCTTTGTACCATTTGGCTTCACGTTGTCGATGATGTTGAAAGACGACTCTGATAGAGCTACGTGGCCTGAGTTCACCAAATGCTCGAGAATTGAGCTAGTAATTGTCTTGCATTGTCCCTTTGCTAACCATGCCGGATAGTGTTCAGAGATGCGTTTGGAAAGCGTGCGCTTTGTGCAGCCAATATATATATGACGTAATTTACAACTTTTAAGTTTCACTTCTAAAGCCACTGCTGAGAAATCCTATCAATTATGCCACCCCCTTTTACTCAATAATAAGCCACTATATATTTTTTGTAAGTATAAATACGACTGTACAGCCTCTAAAGATGATTTCGTCAATAAAATAAGTAGAAATCTCATTCAAAACTCTGGGAGTAATCTGATAGGGCTACCTATAAGAGTTGGTTAGACTGTACAACGCTGATATTTATTCGTTGAGAGTGAGTGTATAAATTATAGCAAGACAAACTTGCCAGGCTTTCATCATTTCAGCCTACTTCATTGGGTGGGATGTAGGCGGTCAATTATGATTTGAATTTTCTCACGTAGTTAGTTGGTCTTGCGCTTCGGTGGCACAAAGGTAGAATGCTCGCCAACCACACATTTGGTCCATGGTTCGATTCCCGACCGTCGCATTCCCTTACCTCGTTAAGCCAGCAATAAGATTGGTAAAGAGGGAAGGTTAGGCATGCGACTAGCAAGCCTATCCTTTAAATATATCTGTCTGTCTGTTTTCGACATAGAACTTTGCACATATGTGCGCCAGTTCAAGTCGCCACACTCCCTTCATGTAGCACACAGAGTAAGAGAAGAAGGTAGAAGAAAGGCATAATAGAGACAGTAAACAGAGATATGAGGGAAAGATAATGGAAATATCGAAGAACAATATAGTTTTATTGGGTATTATTAGCCACAAGGAGTGGATGCATCTGCGCCAGCCTTTGAGCATGATTTTCAGCCATATCACAAATAGTTTCCAACCACTGGGTCTTACCGTCCCGAGGACCCCAACCGGTCACGAAGTTTACACCTTCCTACGTGGCTTTAACTAACTGCTGTGGATTTCATTGACTGGTGCCATGTTTTGGTTTGACCGCCGCTAGCTCTTTTCCTGCCTGACCCTATGTCAGCTAACATTGCCCATTGTCGAGGAAGGCGAAGACTAGGCATACGTAACACATGTCCTAACCATCTCAGTCGATATAGCTTCACAGCCTCATCTATTGACTTCCCCTTCTTACCTAGTACCCGACGCCTAACCTCAATATTGCTCACCTTATTATACCTGTAAAAATAAACAACACTGCTACAGAAACTTCAGGCCTTTCACTTGACGCCGTATGTTCCACTGGGAACGTGAAGGAATAAAAAAAAGTTAGTTGGTCTAATGTGATTTTGTATCACGTACCTAGAGGAATGTTGTAATCATCATTTCATATGTTACATTTGGCTGTTTTATCAACTTTTTATCCATCTGGAATATCTATTCCGTCGTTTACTTGTTACTATACGAGAAAATACCTTGCAATAACGTTTATCCTCACTTTCAAATGTTACTAACACTATGAGCTGATCACTTACCAATTCAATATTGTTTATGCCCTCAACTACCTTACAAATATATCACCCCATTGCCATTTACAGTAGATATACTTCAACTGTCTATACTGCCACATTAGAACTTTTTTTTACAATAAAACAGCAAAGTAGGAAAAGTAGATGAGGCAAAATAACAACAAGAAGAAGAAGAAGAACAACAACAACAACAAAATTCAACTAAATAATATAAAATGACTCATCACAGTGGATTTTTTT